AACAAAGTGTTTATTTTAAGTTGATATTTTCAAATTGAAAATCAGGCAAGTAAGAGTTATTTCAATTTATTTGTGATTAATTTCTTATCTGTGTAATAATTTATCAATCTGAATTAAATTTGAACGGAAATTTCACAAGACTTAAGTGCTAATCTATGACTGAGTACGAAAGTTTAGACGTGGGCCACCCACACAGTTTGCTGCAGATGGCTGACAGTTGGACAGGCCTTATCTTAATAATAGATTGTATACTAGCATTTAGACATGAGGATAATACAACTGTATAATACAATTGCATTGTTTCATCTTGGAAATCCACAACCGAGACATTCAGCTTTCCTTTTCTATCAGCTCACTGCTAAATGCTGCTTTCTTCTCAACAGTCATCGTGATGATAACTGGAAAGTGCTTAGAGATAAGGGATCAAACAATAGTCATAGAAAACATTTGTAGTATATAGTACCGGTATATTTGTAACTGAAAACAAATTATACTTACTTGGCTTATTAAAAATACAAAACAATTTGATTCATGATAACCAAAGCAAGAAATAACAGAATTGTTTGTAAAAAAAAAAAATAATAACCAAGGCATGAAATTGCATGAAACTTAAAATGTTTGACTGAACCAAAAACTTGGAACGGAAACGAGTTTTGTACCTGAAAACGACTTTATGTATGCACATGTGACAGTAGTTGAAGATCACAGTAATAACAGCTTTTTTTTTCTTTCCACATACTATTTTAACTCGTTGACTTGAACATGTTTTATGCTGAGCAAGTAGCTATTTTCATTGTTGGTAGATGTGCATGTCTATTGCTAGCTGTAGCCAGTTTTCTTTAATACCTTTGACTTTTATTGATATAATATACTTTATCAAAAATATATATGTATATGTAAGTACAGGCCAGTCTTTTATATACACTTGAAATAATTTATATACAAAATGTCTATAACAGCAGAATATACTAACATAGTATTACTTTAATGACATGTTGTACGTACCGGTAATAAGAAAGTTATTACCTTTTCTCCTTATTTATATCTTTTATTAATTAATGGGAGTTTACTGAAATTTATTTTATCAAATAAATCAAGTAACCAAATACTATGCACAGTTCATTTGGTTTATCTTAATAATGTGTTTTATTCTCAATAAGGTGTTTACAAAAGATGGAAAATATACAACAATGCATACTACTGACACTTAGGACTAGATTCTCTGTTTTATCCCCCAATGAAAACTGGCTTATCATTATTGGGGAGTTCGGTAATCATCTGCCCGCTGTGCAAGGGGCGTGGGACAGAAGTGATCCAACTACCTTGGCTTTACCTTAGAGCAGATACCTAAAACGTTTTCAAGCCATTTTGTTTACGTGATGTCTGCCTTTAGTTCATGATTCATTGTCTTATTTATTGCTAATAAATGATTAGGGACTGCGTTCAAGCTGTGTAAAGTAAATATATAGTGGAACAGCTGTGTTAAGTATAAATAAATTGTGGAACAGCTGTGTAAAGTATAAATAAATAGTGGAACAGCTGTTTAAACTATCAATAAATAGTGGAACGGCTGTGTTAAGTATCAATAAATAGTGGGACGAGATATGTTTCGGCTGGGGGGGGGGATAAAACCACACAGGGCAATTAATTACAAGGGCGTTTGGGCACATTAAGCGCCAACTTCGGCAGACAAGACGCAACAAGAAAATTTTACACCACTAAAAACGGCGTGTGTTTGAAGACTCTGGTCAAAATGTAGTTGTCTCTGTGCAGAAACGAAAACGCTCTTTTTCTAAACAGATGCAACTTCTTTCCCTTAAAGTTAGGACCGATAGATATACAATTCATTTAAATAAATCTGTGTTCCCCAATCTATACTATTAGAATGTACCAGCGTGCGCCCCCCCCCCCCCCNNNNGGGGGGGGGGGGGGGGTAGAAAATTTGTGACAGGGGGAGGGGGGTGGGTAAAAAAAATTGTGACGAGACATTTTTTTTTTAATCTAAAAAAATTTTCTAATTTAGAAAAATCTTTATTCAATTAATTTAAAAAAAACAAAAAACTTTAATTTGAGGTCGAGATTGCCTCAGGTATTATAGGTAAGGTGAAACCCAGACACATGCGCATATCGAAAAATGACGCCTAAACTGTTGTGGCCATTTTACATTCGGCTTGTGGATAACTTCGTTGTTTTGCGTCACAGTTTTCTAATAATAACTCATCTTAATCCAATATGGGAAAATGTTAAAGAATTAAATAAAATCTTAATTTAGTTATGAAAATTGTATTTATGTTATGATTTTTTTAAGGTGTGACGTGACACTAAGGAAGGGTGTGTGTGTCGGGGGGGGGGGGGGNGGGGGGGGGGGGGGGGGGGTTAAAGAATTTGTGACAGGGGAGGGGGGTCTGAAAATGTCATTTCTTGCGTGACATAATTTGCGAACGACCCATTTCGGTATCGTTCTTCCACCGTTTTTCAAACACTGTTAATGCTCAAATATGAAATCTTTCTTTTTAAAATCCGCTGAGAGATCTTATTTCAACATAAGACTATTCCCTTATGTCGTCAGGTGCCTGTTGGAGCTTTGCAACTTTGACAAGCGTGTTAAAGACGCGGCAGTTTCAATAATGCTATTGCAACCAGGGGCGCGGCGAGAGTGTTTGGCACCCGGAGACAAGATTCGCGCCCAGGGACAAGATTCATTTTAAAGCGCCCCCTTTTCTTTTTTTCAACTCTCAAACCCGTTATTTTCATGTATAAAATACTACCAAAGCACATTTTGGCGCCCCTAATTAGCTGGCGCCCGGGGACGTCTGTCCTCCCCACGCCCCCACCCTTCCCTACGCCTCTCATTGTAACAATTGTTCAATATAATAATTTTAAAAATATATTTGAGATGAAAAAAAACAACAACAAAAGATGGTGAATATTGAAACCCTAACCATGAGCTCGTTCAGGGTTGCCAACTCAATAAAATAACATTTACTGACAAATATAAGAACTCTCAACAAAATTTACGGACAAAAACAATTTTTTACCGACACATTTAACATAAAATGTTGACGTTAAAACGAACAGCCTAGCTGTCCAGAAAGCTCTTACAGTTTATTAATAGAGCGCGGGATGCCACTAAAACAATTTAAAAATTAAAATTTGAATCAAGAAAATAGATATCACAAACATGATTTACTGGGTTTTTTTTTAAACGTTGACATTCCACGTTTAGTCGAATTTTTTTACGGACGTCTTAATTTTTTAACGGAATTTTACGGACAGGCAATTTTACGACAAATCTTTACGGACTGTCCGTAAATTTACGGACGGTTGGCAACCCTGAGCTCGTTCAACATTTATTGTTACTACCGCAAGATCACAAAACATCAAGCCCATCTGGAAATGGATAAACAAATTTACACTAGTAGCTAAAATTATCAAATTTAGGTGGGTTCTGCTGTGATAAGTAAATTTATAACTCTAAATTATATTCTTGAAATTTTGTCTTTAACTATGTCTAAAATTAGATTTTTTCAGTTTGCCGTTTGTGTCCAGACTCTCTGTTATGATTAAAAGGTGACCTATGACCTCGACTGGAAACAAAACCCGAAAACTCAAAGAAAAGAAAAAAAAAAAAAGGGCGGATAGAGCTGCTTTTGATTTTGTCCCGGGCCGCTTGGACACTCCAGTCAACTACTTCCCTTTATTGATTGCCTATGTGAGCCATCAGCTGAAACGCAACAGCTTCCATCTGAGATCTCCGCTGTGTATTTATTCTATGCATTTGATTTGATTGTTGCATAAAGTGCCCGACAGTCCAACATCAAAGTCCTGGAATGTGCCCAAAGTGCAGCACTTTCTTTACTCTATGCGACTGACGCCTGCGATCTGTCGGTGTCGTCAAGAGAATGGACCCAGGCCATAAATGTAGACTCAAAATAAAGGATATGCTATACGGCCAACTGTCAGAGACATTAAAAAAAAAAAATTGGTTGGTTTTGGGAAGCGGATTTACTTGGTGACAACGTCTACGCCGCAAAGGCGCGTGCAATAAAGAAACTGAGAAGGCCAGCGACTGTGCGGACTTTGCGGAGGACAGTTCAAGCCAAAAAAAAAAAAA